TCGGTGTCTGTCATCTCCATATGGTGGATCTAGGGTGGTACCTACAAGGTTAGAACTCTAATGCCCAAGTCACTTTAGGGTTCATGATAATGGTAGTGAAAGTGGAAATTAGAGATTGTGTACCTAAGAACCATTTACGAAGATATTTATACCTTGGTTTTGGTAGAGTAGGTTAGATAATGGGCCTCGTGCTATGGGGCCTTTAGCTGGCGCAGAGCAATGGGTCCCGGGTCTTTGGCCGTTAAGGAACAAAATTCAATATGTTTCAAAAAGTTATTCAAAAACTACCCAAAAACACAAACAAGAATCAAGAAGGAATTGTAAAAACTTACAAAAGGTGAACTAAGCTTGAAGGTGAAATGAAGTCTTTTAGCTTTACTCAGTAATTACACCCAATTGTAGTAGTTGGTAGCTAACAATGGTCATATATAATGGTGGTTAGCGGTGGTCATAGTGGTGGTAATTGGCGATGATGGTAATGGGTTGTTAGGTGGTGGTTTACAGTGGTAATAATGGTGGTTAAAGTGGTAGTTGGTGGCAATAATCGTGGTCATATTTGTGGTCAGAGGTAGATGAAGTAATGTTTGGTGGTGGTTGTTGGTGGGCAACATGGTAATTGCCGATAAACAAAGTGGTAGTTGACAATGATTGCAGTCAAAGTGGTGGTCATATTGATAATCAATTATGGTCATATTGGAAATCAGAGATGATCATAGTAATGAAAGATGGAAATTAAATGTGGTATAATAGGTGTTTGTCAATGATCGACATTGGTCGGAAGTGGTAAGTGGTTGTTAGAGTAATGGTAGGTGACCACATGTGATGATGGTTTCTTAACTTTAAAATAAAAATAAAAATTTTAAAATTTTTTTAGGCTTTTGAGTTTTGGAGAAAAAAATTTAAAAAATAAAAAATATCAATTCAACCTCAATTTTTGCGAAATAAGTTTTAATTTTAAAATTAAATTTCAAATTTAAAAACTAGAATCCCCAATCATTCTGATCGAATGATTAAATTATTTATTTTTCAAAAGCATAAAAATAATTTTTTTTAAATATAATAAAATGTAAACTTTCCAAATATTTTAAAGTATTCTTCTTAGTTATGGGGTTGCAAGCCCTTTAGGTTTAAAATTTTTGGGTTAGGGGACAAAAATTTTTAGAAGGTGGTATGTGAGTCTTGAAGATTTGAGGCTCGTGAGGGTTAGATGACATGTAAGTTGAAGCATAAACTAAGAGTTATTAAAGGCATTCTTAAGGTTTTTAACATGGAGTTGGTAACTTGAATTTTAATATTAAGGTTTGTTTGGATACACTTTAGGATTTGGAGTTGAAAGAGGAATTTATGTCTCTTTTCAAGGAGGAGTTGGCCAGTAGATAGAGGGTGTGTCAAGAGTTGTGGGACCTAATTAGGTGTCTTGATTCACAGATTTTGCACAGGCCTGGATTGGCTTGGTTGAAAGAGGAGGGGTGCTAATTCGGGATTTTTTTTCCATGCTTGTGTTAGGCAGAAGAGTAAGAGAGTTAATTTGGACATGCTTCGTGTTGGAGACTCTTGGTTGGATAAGGTCTTTAAGGTTAGATGAGAGATTAAGGTCTTTAAGGTTAGATGAGAGATTAATGGGTTCTTTTAGGAGCACTTTGTTGATTAAGAGGCTGTTAGGCACAAGTGTAAGACACAAGTGAATGGACAAAGAACAACGAACAGAAGAAAAGAAGCCAAATAAGCCAAAGAAAATAGGTTGTATAAGGTTGTTATGAACTTTGTGTCTTACCATGCTTTGATTAAGATTTAGCATGTTCGCTGGGCAAATAACAGCGAGCAGCCAGCGAACATTCGCTGGGCGAAGTTGTAGCGAAGCCCCAACGAACCATTCCAGATTAGAGGCAGTAAGAAAAGGGCCATAAGTTTGTTGTGCGAACTTGTAGCAAAGAAGCTCTATGGGCGAAGAAGTGTTCGCTAGGCGAGTTTACATATTTCCTCAGGGGCGGTTTAACTGTTCAGAGACATTTCGGGTGCCATAAAGTGGTCATCGCTGGGGAACTTGGCAGACTTTGGAAGTACTATATATATATATATATATATATATATATATATATATATATATATATATATATATATATATATATATATATATATATATATATATATATATATATATATATATATATATATATATATATATATATATATATATATATATATATACTTTCACACTTTCTAGGGATCATAACTCCATTTTCACATAGAAACCTCATTTTTATGCATTTCTTCACCAAAGAGTGAGATTTTACAAATAGAAGGTAGATTCGCATCCAAGATCCGTTCTTCCATGTGGATGCTCATTCATCTTCTCTCAAGACTTATAAAGCAAGCTACCATGGTTATGAGTAGCTAATTTTTTTTTGTATCAAAGGTAGAGGTAGTTTACCTTAACTTTATGTATTTCTTTTGACTGACCTTGTATGTGAACAAGTGATGATTAATATATGATGAATATTTTTGTTCGTAATGATCCATTCTTATTTTGTAAAGTTCTAGACATAGATTTTATGGAACTTGACATAAAATATTCATCTATCAATTTATAGATTGGAGAGATCAGTTTATGGTTGATATTTGCTTTATATTGAACTTAAAGCTTACTATATTGGTTGTTATATGGAGAGATCGTGTAACAATGAATACGATATTTCTCACGATACCTCTCTAGACATAGACGGTATTGAGATAATACACAATGATATTAATCAGATCTGACTTCACATGCAAGATTGAAAGAATACGTATAAGTTAGGGTAGATAAAAACTACTTTTGATATACTTTCTTAATCAAACTTTAGAATTCTATAAGCTTTGTTACTGAATCGTGACAATTTATGAAACAAATTTTGAAGACCCTTTCATGTATTCCTTATTGCAGCTGTGTGAAAAAGAAAGATTATATTAAATATCTAGAACTTTTTAAAATGGATCCAAAATGTGGACCCGACTAATCAATCTCAAAATGTCAACATTTACAAAGTAATCTATTTACTAAAAATATTATTTTAAAAGATATCCTCTAAAATTCAAAATATCATTATTAAAATAATTTTTCAACAAAATATGGCCCTGAATTATAAATAAAAAATATTTAACATATCATTCATTTTTATTTCAAATTCTTAAACAAAATAACAGTAACCAACAAAATTTCAGACAGATAGTAAGGAAATTCTACATTCAAATTTGAGTAATAGTGCTTAAATCCAACAATATCTACTTTCATTGGTTAAATTAGGAATTAAAGACAACATGTATATCAGTGTCGTATGATGAGGGTTAGAATTTGATCATATTATAATCAGGATTGCTATGTTGACACCCATTTCTACACCCTACACCTCAATTACTGTTCACAAATACTTGAACAAATTCTCCAGAACATGGTTAATAGTGTGTATTTTATTGGTTAATGAAGTAGTGAAAGTGGTTAATAAATTATAGATAAAATAATTGGTTAATAATGTAGATTTTTGTGGTTAATGCAACTGTGAAGTTGGTTAATACGCAATCTTATATTTGTGTTATAAAATAAATTTTAAAAATAAATATTTTTTTTAAAAAAATTAATATTTTAAAAAATATATATTATTTTTAAAAAAAAAACACTGTTTACCGTATAAATACGGTAAATAGTGCATACGGTGTAAGTATTAGGTGTAGAAAAGGGTGTAGGAATAACATTTTTCTATTATAATATGCCTATTGGCTTCATTCTTTTAACAAAATTATTTTTTTTAAAAATTATTTTTTTATTATAGATTAGTTCTTTAAATTTTTTTTAACAAAAGTCACAATTATTTTGACATAATGAAAATGTTACTTGTGTATTCCATTATTTTGAGGAGTATTAAAATAATAAAGTGTAATCAGAGATTTAACAATTATGAAATTTTAAATGTTCAGTGAGAAAAAAAATGTAAAAATCAACCTAAAACATCAATTGCTAAAAAAAACTTAAATGAACAATATGTTATACAAAAATAACTGAAATGATTGAATATAATTTTGCCTCATCTTTTTGTTAAAATGATTATTATAGTTTTATATATTTTATTTTTAATTTATTAAAAAAATTAAATAATAATTTTTTGTAAATTGCTTTTCATAAAATATTACTTTAGCTATTTTAAAATTTTATAACAACTTTTTTCTATATAATAAAATTTTAAAAATTTATTTAAACTTAAAAATATTTTGAGTATTTTTTAATGAAAAATATTTAAAAGATATATCCTTATAAAAAATATATAACTTTGACCGTGTTTTAATTTTTTAATTGATAAAAACTATTTTAAAAACTTTTATTATTTAAAAAAATTATAATTTTTTTAAATTTAAATATAAAACAAGATTTCCCAATATATCTAAGTAAAATCAATTTTTTATGCTTTAATTATATTTATATATAAGCTTTTCTAAATTTTTATTGAACAATAATTTTGATGTAAAAAATGGAATTACTATTTCATGTCGGTACCTCCTTTTTCTTCTCATTTATCTCATACTTAAAATTATTCAACTCTAATATTCTATTCAAAGTCCTCACCACGTTCTAAACATTAATCTCCCAAAAGCCACCAATCAAATCAAAGCATCCAATTTTCTATACCAATTCCTAGTTATTTTAAATTATCATAAATTTATGACTTTAAAGTCTTAACAAAATATATTATACAAAAATCACATCAAAATATCTTTTATTTTACCATTCTACCCTTTTAAGAACTTTCCACGAATATGCTACGCAAGTTCACTCCAACCTAACCCGTGTCTCTGTCTCTGACCAAGCAAATTTGTTTCCATAGCTGTCTTCAATGAATCTATGTCTCCTTCTCGGAAAAAACCCTTCACATTCCTCTCTCTTTCCTCTTCACATCCATATATACCCATCTTCAATCTCATTCATCATCATTCACAATTATTCACAACCCAAAATCTCTCTTTCTTTTCAAATGGCTTCAAACAACACTCAAGTTCAATTCCAAGACTCATTACCATTGATGGCAAACAAGCTTGGTGGGGATGGACTAATAGACGAGCTTTGCAACGGGTTCAATCTCTTGATGGATTCTAGTAAAGGGGTTATCACCTTTGAAAGCCTCAAGAGGAATTCATCTTTGTTTGGATTACAGGATTTGAGCGATGAGGAACTGAGGAACATGATTGTTGAAGGTGATTTTGATGGCGATGGTGCTCTTAGTCAGTTGGAGTTTTGTGTCTTGATGTTTAGACTTAGTCCTGAACTCATGGATGGGTCTAAGTTGTGGTTGGAAGAAATGCTTCAACAAGAGATTAATGATTTTTGCTAATTTTTTTCTTATGTTATTTTATGGGGATTTTAACATTTGTATAAACAAGAAAAAAGATAACTGTTTATTGATATCAAAATGGAAGAAGTGGAGATTCATCTGATTTTTGTTACTTGTGTTGTGTATTCTTTTGTTCAATTCTATTACTATGATCAAATACCTCTAAATTCTATTACTATCTTTCTAAAGCAACCAAAAGCACCAAACCAGATTGCATTGAAAGGACTTTATATTTCCTCATTTTTGTAATTTTTTATTTATTTATTGGGCAATTGTTTTTAATTAGAAAAATAGAATAGTTTAAATTAAAAGCAAACACCTCATTTATCTCTTTGAAAACAAGTTGTCAAGTAATGAACTGGCCTTCCAACGGTTACTGCATCATCATGAGATATATCCTTTGGTGAGTTCCTCATAGATGACATATTACAATTCTCGTGAGAGGAAAGTAGAATCACAATGCATTCTTGACTCGAGTTAAAGATGCTTAACATATAATATTATAAGCATACCTATGAGTAACTTTTGTGGTTAGGATGCTAAAGATAAATCCTAATAAAATTAGAGAATATTAAAAAATATAAATAAAGTTAATTAATAAAATAAAGATATTTTTATTCTTTTGATAATCTTTTATTTTTTAGTGAGAGTACATACATAATATTAGAGAATTTTTTAATCTACTCTTTGATACTCTTTGTCGCTAGCGTATTTCTTTTTATGCCTCCTGTTTCTGGTGCTATATCTCCGAACGCACCCTTTTTTCTATGTTAGATGCTTTCGGAGACACATCTACAGAAAAAGTCCCGTAAATGCATCTCTGAAATCTTATTAGAATAATTTTTTTTTTAAATCTAATTTTGTTAGTCGCGGATGAAAGTTAACTATTGCAGATGAATATAAAATAACATACATCCATAAATAAAATAATATGATATATATAAGAAGTCATATGTCATAAACATCATTAAAAAAAAGTACATAAATGTCATCAAAATATAGTACATCAAAAAAATACCACAGTCGCTACTGTGTGTGTCTGCCAACATCTTCATCCTCTCCTCTGTCAATGCCTCTGCCAATGCCTTGACCGTCTGATCTGCATCCTCGACCATCGATCTCACATGTCCTACTGCAATGTCTCTGATACATAAGTGTCACCCTCTGCCACCACAATCATCCCATCCAATATATGATTATGGTCAGACCCCTCAGGGAAGAAACCAGCTTCAATGCCTGCCCGCCCCATCTCCACTATTAGACAACAGCAAGGAAGGACATCCTGAGTGTGGTCTAACTGAGACTGTTGCTCCTCTAAAATCTCCTGATGAGCTGGTATGAGCGGTGATCCTTCTGCAGTGGGCACCATGTAGGGGTGTGAGACGGTGAAGAACCACATGATGTAGCCATCAACACAATTCCAGTCTCTCGGTGCTCTGGTCACCCGAGCCTCGCTCGATACCATGTGCCTTTGATAGTCAGCATAAATCTCCTCTATCTGCATAAGGGTCAAGCCAATAGGAGCGGAGACAGTTGAGTGTCTGGGTATCGTCTGTGTGTACCAAACTGTCGCATGACGCGCTCGGGCAAATATGGAACAATGATGGTCGAACTGCATGCCAACCATCCTAAGAATAATAAGATGTCATCAAACAGGCGCGTCACACAGTGATCAGCATAGACGTCGTAGCGGATGTTCTCAACAACCAGACGATCGAGATAAACTATGTATGGGTCGACCGCCTGGTTCCTCCTGAGCGGGAGAAAGGCACGTGCATGTGGCATCAGCTTTGTGTAATCGACACATTCCCCCACCCGACGATCATGGGAAAGTGCTGGAATATCCAAGCCTGAAATGAAAATACAAAACATCAGGATCAAGCATTATCACAAATATAGAATGACAAGAAATGAAAAAAAAGTCGAAGGATATAAGATTGTTACCACAAGTACTGATACGCTGTCTACCACAGTCCTGGTCTTCCATAGAAATCCCTCTCCTAACCTCTAATATGTGTACGCTAGTGTAGTCGTCCCCCAGTTGTACTCATGGATCCATGTGAAATCCAAAAAGTACCTGAGGTAAGTGAAATCGGTTTGTGTGGAGTTCGTATCCACAAGCAACTGAGTTCTGACTAAAAATAGAAAATAACACCTCAGCACACGCTGCCTGTGTATCTCAATCTCAGCTGGATCACCATCTTCCTGCTGTGCAGCAACGAGCGCCTCACCAAATCTATGCATCAGAAAGGAGAACCTCACATGAGACCCTCTGGTCTTATCCACCTCCTCAAGCACATCCAGTGGATCAGCCCCAAGTTCCTCCACCAACATCTCTTTCGTATCCTCCTTCGTCATCCTACCATGATGGAGGAGGGCACCCCTAATCGGTATATGTAACAGACAAGAGATATCGTCCAGTGTAATTGTGATCTCGTCGTACGGTAGATGGAAGGAGGACGTCTCAGGGTGCCATCTCTCTGCAAATCCCATCAGCATCCCGTTGTGGATCAGGCCGTAACCGATCTCACAAAGGTTCTTCAAACCAGAGGCGGAAAGGGCTTCTTGGAACCAAGCCTCCTGTGGCTGGTCCAAAGCTAATATCTTTCGCCCATGGTCATAGAACTTCTGCGGATGACGAGTCTGAAAATTTCCATAACTAAGAAACAATGTTAACAAGAAACAATGGTACAAATTATAAATTTCCAATGTAAAAAAGAAACAATCTGAGTAATGTTACCTCTCCATCCTAGACATGTCTGGAAGTACGGTCAACATACCCTGTCAGCAGGGACATATCTGAGGGACCCTCTGGAAAACCCTCAGGCTCATTATCGTCATCATCACCCTCTATGTGTGGCACCAGATCAACATCATCGGCAGGAGGAGGAACATGAGTATCCTGGTGAGGCCTATGGGAGGACGAGGTCTATGATGAACCCTCATCTGAATCCCGACGCCTCCGAGATGAAGAAGTGGATGATGGGGTGGGATACAAGGCCGAGAAAATATCCTGGCCATGTGATGAAGAAGGTTGTGCTGTAGATTGTGCCTCAACTGTAGGCTCTGTTGGAACAGATGTATCGACCTCGATAACGGCCTGGCTCCGCTCGCATCTGACAGATGCATGCTATAAAACCCTTTCAAATCGCAATCTATCGTCTCTGTCTGCCATAATGTCTGCAAGGTATAACCAAGAAAAAACAATTAAATACAAATAAATTAAAAAACAAAAAAGAAAAAAATAAACATTTTTTTACATCCGGATATGTACACACAGAAAACTTCCGTAGATGTATCTATGGAAGTATCCAGAATTCACAATGTTTGATTTATTCCAGAGTTGCATCTACGGAATTTCCCTAACGTTAATATGTGGTAGCTCTAGAACTTTCTGCAACTTTAACAGTCATGACAATGGCGTCCCCTACCCATGAAAATCAATTTTTTGAAGCCCTGATCATCCATTTCAACCAACAAACAACACCTACATTGACTCTAAACTATATTTCTAAAACTATCTAAGGATTTCTACCCTTAAAACTATATTCTAACTCGTTTACGGGAAATACTCGAAAATACCTTTGAAACTTAAAAACTTACTGACTATATCAAGCTTTGAATGATTTAGAGTGTCTTGATTGTTGAAATGAATTCTCCTTATCGAACTCGATTGAAAAAAATTAACTTTGGTGAAAAATGATTTTTTGAGGATTGAGAGAGTTTGGAGAGTTTGAGAGTGAAGAAGATGAAAAATGAAGAATGAGGAAGGAGAAGCGACTCTGGCGCGAATGTATTTCAATATTTCCCGAAGCTATATAAACGGAAGCATTTCGTAGATGTAGCTTCGAAAAAACCAACGTTGAGTAAAAAAATGTGCGTCCGGAGATACATCTTTGGAAGCAGAGGTTATTTTTGGAAGTGCACATGGTGCCTAAGAATCCCAAGGGGTGGGGTAAGAAATTCTCTAAAATTACTATTGGATAGTGGAATAAAGGCCCAACGATTAACAGCTCAACTAAACAACAAAAGGCCAACTAATATAAATTATACTTCTCTCTTTAATAATTAAGTTGCCTAACATTAACTCCATGATCCTACCATTATCTACCCCTTAAAAAATAAGCTTGTCCTCAAGGTTGTAAAACTTTATTGTTGCAATAACTTTCCTGGATCCCACTACTTGAACCAGAAAAACTTTGAAATTTGTGCAAATTTCTTCTCTCTGCCTACTAGCACAATGCCATGGTTAGCATTTAGAATTATGTTTATTTCAACATTTGGAGCCTTCAACTTTAACTTACGCATGCACTCCATAGGGTCAACTTGATCTTTGTCACCTTGTAAAACATTTATTCTAACTCCACTTTTTGTCCAAATTTTCAAGTCTACCCATGAATTTTTGTTCCCCCACATATCACATTATGCATGGAATTCCAAGCAGATTGATGAGTATGTATTGTCATGTTTGTGATCAAGAAACTTATATCCCTCTTTCGAGTAATGAATTTTAGAATCCTTTCCCATATCCTGTGATTTCTGCAATATATTAGGCAAATAATTCAACCCAAATGCTCATACCACAACATAAATAAAGAACTTGCTGATAACATTGGCCAAAATTTCTTTCCAGGAAACTTTTCAAGTGCTTTCAAACAAGCATCATTTTCCTCAGAAGAAGAGTATGGAGATGCAACAAGGTTAATGGATTTTACACAATTTGAGTACTTTGCAGCCAAAGCCAATGCAATTATACATCCCATAGAGTGTGCAACCAAATGAAAACTACCTATCTGCAATGATTGAACAATAGATTTCTCAATCATTTCCACATGATCCTTCCAAGTGTACAAACAATCTCTTAGCTTTAAACTCTTTCCGAACCCCAAAAGGTCTACGACAATCAATTTGGAGTTATGATTTACATTTTCAAAGAAACATGGAAACACTGTCTGTGTCCAAAATGAAGAAGAACACATAAATCCATGCAAGAATATCAC